CTAGGATATTCAGATACAATTCACAATGGCTTGAAAGTATATTTTTGCAATGGAAGGATGTCCTTTTGCAAACCATTTCAGAGTTAAGTTTAATTTTGAAAATTAATATGAATTTAATGAATATCTTAGAAGCACTCTGGTGTTGAGAAACAGTGCCCAAAATTATGGATATCAGGTGACTGACTGCATACAGCTAATGTGAATTACAGCAAGCATAACCTCAATCTGTGTTCTAGACCCCCAAGTATAAAAACACGGCATAATGTAATTGGAAACCATGATAATTTGTAATAGATATATTATTCAGCTTCCTACTGGGAAGGCTGTCTGTACTGGTCACAGTATTTGTCTCTTTTTTTTTTTTTATGGTACCTGAAACCCACTCAGTCCGTTTGCTGCCCATCTCTTGTTCCTAGCAGCGACGTGTGAAATACTGTATCTTCTTTCTGCAGTGTTTTGCAAAGGTCGTTGCTTGCCTACTCTCTCAGAAAGGCCATATTCAAGCAGCACCAAGCCTGTGCCACAAAGAGATTCTCTCTGAAACTTAGAACCATAAAAAAAATTCAACTGGAGTACCAGGGAGAAGGCTGACAAAATAGAGTCAACATTATTTGCTAAAAAAAAAATGGTTCTTCTGGCCTCAGGTAAGTAACAGAGGTGTGTTCAAAAGCACAGCACAGCAGTATGGATTTTTGACATAGGATGCCTGGAGTACGCCTCTCTTGGGTTACAAGAAATCAATACTCTTGCAGTGTTGGTAGGTCTGTAGCATTATTTCCTAATAGGTTATTGATATCACGGTAGGTGTCTCCAGTAAGGCCTGACCTAAGAAAGCAGCAGCACTAGAGGATTCCTCTTTTTACTGTTTACAGGAAAGAAAGTGTTAAATGACACACTCTGCAAGACGTTTCTCAAAGAATAGCAATTAGTTCTTCTGAAAGGAGTAGAGATACTGGGATAATGAAGTTGTCAGTAAAACAGCCTTTGCTGTAGATTGAGCAAGCACAGCTCATTCAGGCATTTTTCATAGGGCAAATCCTCCATCCCTGATTCTGGTAGTACTAGAACTGTATCATAGAATCATAAAATAGATAAGGTTGGAAGGGATTTGAATGACCATTCAGCTCCAACTCCATGCTGTGGGCAGGTTTGCCAACCACTAGATCAGACTTCTCAGGGCCCCATCCAACTTGGCCTTGAACACCTCCAGGGATGGGACATCCTGTTCCAGCATCTCACCACAATCTGAGTAAAAAATTTCCTCCTAACATCTAATCTAAACCTCCCTTCTTTTAATTTAAAACAATTCTCTGTTGTCCTATCATTATCAGAACAGATAAATGGTTGGTCTCCCTCTGGACATGCTTAGGAGATGTTTAGTGATGTATGCATTTGCATTTTTGGGGTTAATTTGGGCAGCTTCCTTCTATATAAGCCTTTGGACAGAGTTTGTTTCTGAAGGTGAGATCAATTTAAGTAAACACAGGATATGTGAATTGGCCTAAACTGGCAAGTCCTAGGAGTAATGACTATCCATTATAGAATGATAGATCAACAGAACTGTGCATCAGCCTCCATTTTCAGCCTCATAATACACAGCATGATGTCATTGTGTACTTTAATTCCTGGTTTGCAATAATCTGCTTAGTTTTGCAAGAAATTTCAACTATGAGTGTTTCTTTTAAGCTTCAAAGAGTAAAATTATAGAATCATAGAATTGTTTAGATTGGAAAAGACCCTTAAGATCAAGTCCAACCATTGATCTAACACTACCAAGTCTACCACTAAACCATGTCCCTAAGCACCATATTCATACATTTCAGGATCATGACTCCACAGCCTCCCTGGGCAGCCTGTTCCAATTCCTACCACACTTTCTATGAGGAAATTCTTTCTAATATACAATCTAAACCTCCCCTGGTTAAGTGTGAGGCCATTTCCTCAATACTTCTCACTTGTCACCTGAGAAAAGAGACCTCACTGCTACTTCCTTTCAGGTAGTTGTAGAGTGATGAAGTCTGCCTCCTCTTCTACAGACTAAACAATCTCAATTCCCTTAGCCACTCCTCATATGTCTTGTTTTCTTGTCCCTTCATTGCTCTTCTATGATTACATTCCAACAGCTCAGTTTCCTTTTTTTAGTGAGGGGCCCAAAACTGAACACTCGAGGTGTGGTCTCACCAGCACTGTGTATGCATGTAGCTGTCTTTCATGAAACTGGTAACTAGTGTCTTCTTTAGGAATGTGTCCTTTCCTGAACTTGGATAGAGTTAAAGGGTATTAAAAATGTAAAGAACTATGTATTAAAATGATCTGATACCTTAGAGATAATAAATTTTGAAATGTAACTATACTTGATATTGTGTGAATTTAGTAAAATACATCAGGTTACCAAGTGCATTGTAATGCTTGCATAAAAATACTATTAAATAAAATTGTATTTTTCTTCCTATACTTAACTTTTAATAAAACGTTAACGTTTGAAGCTCTGCTTTTACCATGAAAGCCATATTTGTAGTTTCAAGACAGAGGTGAGGAAAATAGTGTATGGCTCTGCTGGTGCCTTTATTTTAGTTGATAAAACTGTCATCTGTGTTAGAGGTAATTTTGTACTCACTGACCTTAGTAGATTTTCTTCATCTTCAAGGATGCCATTGAAACCAAAATTTAACCTAGAAAAGCATTCACCAGTTTGAAAAAATGTTGGAAGATAAGCAGAAAAGATCAGTGGTAACAACCTAAGATGATTAAACTTAATCTGGAGAGAAGAAATCTAGTATAAAATTTTTTTTCTGCTCTGGCTTTACTTTTAATTTGCTATTGAAATGTTTTGGCTTTTTTTCTAATTGCAAATCAAGTGGCAGTAGTCTGTGCATGATATCAGTGTTTCTGCTCTGCTGACTGTTAGACCTTCTGCCCTGAAAGTGTGAAATGTTTGATTATTCCCAAGGGCCACTTTTGATCAGGGTGACAATGAGTTTCTTATGTTTGGCAAGTTCTCCCAGAATCCTGGTGCTTTCAGCTTTCATCTGAAAACTGCTGCCCCTATTCAGTATGCCCTGCATGGTTGGATGGCCTTTCTGCATTTCCTTTTACAAACATTGATGCTTGCTTTTGCAGAAACCCCTGCCTTTTAGGTAACAAACATGTTTTGGAAAGAAAATGGCAGTTTATAAGAATGGCTGGAAGTGTACTGTAAGACACTCAAGTGTTCTGTATTGGGGAATTTTCTTGACAAAGGACATTAATCTTATGCCCAGAAGAAACAGAATTTGTGGAATAGCCAATTTTCTGATGTAATCACTGCACTTTGAATTCTGTCATTTTTTTCCGTTCCTTGCTGGATTTCACTGTCATTTAGCTTCCTCTTGTAAGTATCAGGGTGGAGATTAGCGATTTCAGGAACAGATGTTGAACAGTAGTAAAATCTTTTCTTCAAAAGTGATTCAGGAAATAACTAACCCTGTATGTGATGTTAGACCTTAAAGTAAACATATATACATATCTTGGAGTAACTGCCTGGTCATGGTCTCCTTAATCAGAACTTGAGAGTTTGAATACTGTACTGGTTTCACTTTCATCAAACTCAATGCGCACTTCTGCTGTTAAGTAGCAGAAGTATGGGGGAATGTACCCAAGGAATTTTGGAAAATTAAAGGAAATACAGTATAATCGGAAAATTAAAGGAAATTTAATATTCTTTAGTATTCTTGGAAGACAGAATGTTCTGAAATTTCTGGAGATCAACTCCTTCTGCACCAAAATATGTGGTGTTATGACCAAATTGTAGGAAATCTATACACAGAGTCTACCTCATCTTTGTAAATTGCTTATTTGTGCTTACTAGATTAATAGTATTGTTGAGCTGTCTTTTTACCTTTCTTAATGACATAGTTATTTTTCTTTTATTGGTCAACTCTTACTACTATTTCTTTTGTTCTAACCATATATTTGGCATAAGTGAATCTTCTAGTTCTACACAGGTAGGATTTGAAAAGGTAATTCAGATGACATAGCTTTTATTTGGGTGTGTGCAACATCCTTTAGCAAATTTTGTGTATAAGATAAATGCTTCTATTTCGAAAAGTACAGTTGTAGCTTAACAAATGCACTGCTAATGTTCATGTATAGAAAGTTTAAAGACAAGTGAAATTGGTAAAGCAAGGTCACTATCAAGCTTGCTCATATGCCCATGATAGACTTAATCTGATTTGAATTTGTACCTGTAAAGTCTTGCTGGTCCTTTTTATGAGGACTTTAGTGGATAAGAACATTATTTTTGAAAGTTACACAGATAGCTGTTCTCCCAATGCTATTTCCTCAAATGCTTCAATTCGCTAATGATAAATCAGTTGTCTGTCATCTCCAAAATATTACTAGCAGTACACTGCTTTTCAAAGTCAGAAATATCTGCATTATTCCCATAGATTGAAGGACATCATTAGCTGGTGTGCAGCACTCTCTAGCCTTCTTGAACCAAGGTCTCACCATCTGAGTAAGTTTCATCCCTTCATGTGCACTCAGTCAGTATGGATCCTGAAGTCCTCTTCAACCGCTCCAGATCTTCATTGTGTGCTTACTGACTCCTTCAAACTCTCAAGCTGTTATTTTAGAGAAAATAATGAAAAAGGAGAACAGAATTTAGATTAGGTCAAACAACTATCTTGTACAAAAATGGTGTTATCTGAAATTTCTTTTATGCAGTTATATTGTGATGATTCCATTTTTTGTCATTGTATTACTGTTGCTCTGTTTCCCACTCCCCTCCCTTCCACTGACTTTCCCTTCACCCATCCCTAAGCTCATCTGTTTGCTAGAGTCTTCTGCTTGTTGTGAATGTCATACAAGCAATTGCCTGACTTTTCAAAGAGAAAATTCAGTGGTCTTGAGTTAAGTGATAGCACATGGAAAATATCAGAGCTGTACACTGCAAATCTTAGTGAAGAGTTGTATATGTGTATAAAACAATAATTTGTGTCTTTTTTTAATTTCTTATTCAGGTCATTGCCATAGTTATGGATATGTTTACAGATGTGGATATCTTTAGAGAAATTGTAGAGGCATCTACTAGAGGGATTGCAGTGTATCTCCTGCTTGATGAGTCGAACTTTGGTCACTTTCTGAAAATGACGGAGAAACAAGGCTGCCAAGTTCAAAGGCTCAGGGTAAGACTTATTGTGTTCCTGTGCTTGGACTTTCCTTTGCAACCCACTGAAAAGTTAAAATTATTTTAAAAGTGATTATCAAATGCTGCTGTTTCAAATTAACTATGAAGTAGAAATAGGTAAACTTTCAACAGAACCTTCTCTATTAATGTTGCTCTCTTCTATCTTTTTCATGTGTCATGCACTTGATAGAATGATATAATTTTTCATGTATTATTTATAAAACATTTTTCTGTTGTTATATATTAGGAATACTCCAGGTTTGGAAAACCTTTTTGCTTTATGTTAAATAACCTGCAAATAAAGTCATAAAGCTTATGCAAATAATTAGGAAAAATAAATGATATACTTCATTTACTTCATTTCTTGTCTTTATTTTTTATTTATTTTTTTAATAATTTTAAGTGTGATTATATATTAAAATGCTTTAAAAAGCCTGGGATTCTATTTTAGTAATATTTTCTTGAAAATATTTACAATAATGTCTGTCAACAGCATGTCTTAGAGAGTATGCAATATGAGAAGGCTTACTTTTATGAATTAGTTATGTAGTTTTATGAATTAGTTATCTGTAAGAAAGATAATCAGGAGAGGACTAATGTTTACGTTTCTCATTCAATTGCTTTCACCACCCTCCTACTTAACAGGAAGTAGAATGCAAACCATATGCTGCACTGAACTGACATAAGTGCTTCATAAATACTTCTAGGTTTACTCTTTTGTAGATAGCTCTGAAGACGATCCACGGACAGTGCCAGAGCTTCTCCGCAAAGACCTAGATATTTCCTTGTCTGAACCCTATTTGCAGCTCTGTTTGCAACTCCTTGTTTTTGCCACTAATTGGACCATGCTTACTCCTGGAAAAAGTATTACAGAAGCATATGAACATGCATTTTAAGAACCCAGTCCATAAAACAGATAGAGACATAGTATATTTGTGAGAATAGATAGGGCATTTTTATTTTTTTTTAATTGTGGACTGAATCTATATTTTATACCAATTTTTGCTCTGGAGTGTTGACTTAGAGACACAGAGGTATTACCACACTACTTCCTGTACTTGTTCCTTGTGTGTGAGATGGCCCTCTGCTGGCTTAATACACAAAGCTATGGCAATTTTTAAAAAGAATAAGTCAGAAATGTTGCTTATCTGTAGACACTAGTAGTGATTGCCTTCATAAAGTCAATGTATACAAATAGTTACACGTGCTGGAATTGGAGGTACTACCATTTCCCAATGATTTGGGTTAACTATACCATAGAGATTTCTAACATTTTTTTTTTTTTAATTGTGTGACTTTTATTCTCCCAGTATAAAAGAAATTAGGACCATGCAATTGAAGTTCTATCTCTAAAGAACACCATAGTATGCATTTTCACATTCTGTGCAGTATATTTCTATAGCTGTTTCTAAACCTTAACTTTCTGGGGATGAGTTAGTTTTCTTTCTAAAATGGTTTTATAGACATTTAAATAGACATTCATACTGTGATTGAAAGAACTCGTGCATACATTAGAATGGATTTGGTATGGATTACTGGGTTGGAAAGGTGTGGATTTGGTTTGGATTAGTAAGTCATAGAGGTTTAGATTTGGCCTCCTTAGTGAGATTATGTTTTATATGCATCTGTTGTGTAATGATGGGACAAAAACGTTTACATTAGAAGTTTACTTAGTATGCTTCAAGATTTATCAGAAAATGAAAAGTATATGCCAAAGAGCTAAATATTAATCCAGTAATCCTGTTGTGTCCTGGGTTTCCAGTTTAGCTTGTAGTAAAGCTCTTCTTTGCTCTCTCTAACCTGAAGGGAGGTTGTAGTGAGCTGGGCGTCAGCCTCTTCTCTCATGTAGTAGGTGATAGGACTAGAGGGAATGGCTTCAAGCTGCACCAAGGGAGATTTAGGCTGGACATTAGGAAATACTACTTTTCTGAAAGAGTGGTCAGACAGTGGAAGGGGCTGCCCAAGGAAGTGGTGGAGTCACCAACCCTGAAGGTGTTTAAGGAACATTTGGATTTTGTGTTGAGGGATATGGTTTAGTGAGAACTATTGGTGATAGGTGAATGGTTGGACTGGATGATCTTGTAGGTCTTTTCCAACCTTGAGGTTTCTGTGATTCTGTGATTCAAACTCCTCAGCCGGTGCTACTCCCAGTGACTGTTGGCATGAGAATGAAAGCTTACTACTCTCACAGTAATTATTTCCTTCCTTGAAGATTAAGAGAAACTGCTGGTGACTATGAAAGAGCAGTCAATTCTTGGACAAGGTTTTCTCCCTTTCTCTTTTTTTCTATTGCCTCAATGTTCACTAAAACAAACTATATTTAACTTTTTTTGCTTTTGGACTTCCTCTTTTATAGACTGAAAGCAAAAAGAGGACTGAGATGTAAAAATATATTTCTTTTCCTCAGGATACAGTAAGAACACTGTTCTTTTTATTCTCTGGTGTGATTTGGTTCTGTCTTGCAGGAGTATGGCAGATGTTCTTCATCCCATGCACTCCTAAAGTGGGGCATCTCTCAAGCTTTTCTGGCTTAATCAAATCCTCACAGGCTATTTTTCTCTTCCTTTCAATCAGTAAAAAATAAAATGACAGAGGATGTGTTTCTGAATTCAGATTTACAGTTCAGTCTTTTGTACGTAAAAAAGCATTCATTCGTAAATCTACATCAATGTCTGTGCAGACAGTTTTCCTCATCTGTGTTGTGAATGCATATCAGGACATATTTCTGTCTTTTCTGAAAGCTATAACTGAAAAAAAAAAAAATAGACTATATATTATGTGATTGTTACGTGAATTCTGTACAGAAGAACATAAAACCTGGAATTTACTAGGAGCTTTTCCAGTCTCTTGTACAACATTTCTTCTTTTGGATTGATTTCTACTTAATATTTACCTTACCTTCATCAGTGGCTCATCTCAAATAGATAATGTCTTTCTTGTACTCTTCTATTTCTCTTTCCTCACTTGCAATTTAATTTCTCTGTTTCCTGACTGTCTTACATTTTTTCCCTATTAGCTGATGTATTTCTCTTTTTTTCTCTTCTCTGTCTAAACTTGTTTTGATTAACTTTGTCACCAGACTGACTTGTTCAGTCAGCAGTTCCTTTGCGTAGAATATTGAAAAGTCCATACAGAGCCTGACTTTTTTCAGGTGATTTTTCAAAACCTAATTGTTATTTTTTTTTTTTTGGAGGTCGTTGTTTATTTCTGCTGCTGACAAGTGCTGCAGCAAACTAGGAAATAGATTTGCACTGTGAAACACATCAGAGAGAATAATCCTCAATATCACCAGAATGCTTAAGGGAGTAACTTGGTTTTGGATGAAAACACTGCAGAATGTAGAAAATGTTGATTAATGCCCAAGAAGTCAGCCAAGCTCTTCAGCTGATATCAGAGTTTAGTTTTTTTTATCTGATAGGAAATCATGAAATCATTGAGTCACTAAAGTTAGAAAAGTCTTCTGAGATCATCTAGTCCAACCATCGGCCCATCACTACTATGGCTACTACTTATGGCCCTCAGTGCCACATCTACACATTTCTTGTGTCACCTCCAGTGACACTGACTCCACCACCTCCCTGGGCAGCCTGTTCCAGTGCCTCACCACTCTTTCTGAGAAGAAATTTTTCATAATATCCACAATATGAGTTGTGGCATGTGGCAGAGGCTCTATATTGAACAGAAACCTATTTTTACTTCTCTGGAAATAATGAAGAATCATCTTACTAAAGGAGAATATTGCAAGCAATTTGACAGGAACTGTTTATACTGTGATACTCTTCTCAGTATTTTTAATGAACTGGGGAAATGAGAAAGTAGAAGCAGTAATGAATTGTTTTCTTTCTTTCGTGAGATCTACCCCCAAGTGTATATGCTGAAGTGCAGGGGAGAAGCTGTTCGTGAGAGCTGACTGCAGTCCGTTATTTCTTATGAGTTTTATCAGAATCATCAGAAGTTTTCTATTACTTCCAAGTCTAAGTCAGATTTGGTCAGATACAGCTCAGCTTTGTGCCAGTGAGCAAAATTCTGTCCTAAGGACCAGACTTCAATGAAGTCATTGAGAATTTGACTTCAGTGGTCACTGAATCAGCTTGAAAGTTACAGCAAAACCTAGCTGGAAAGCTGCTTAGCATTTGTACAGCAAGTCCTATCTCTTAGTAAGAACAGGATAATAAATAACATAAGTAATGATGGAAAATATGGGAAACAGGACTGTTTTCTTCTTTAAAGCTGCTAGGCTACCTATTAGGTAGACATCTGTTCCTTTCTTCATGCATATTCTTGACAGCAAGTACAGGATAAATAATTGAATACTGATAGAAACAGACTCTCCAAATAAAAAATGCTGAAATAAAGCGTTTGAGTCCAGTATATTCATTGTACTTACCTATCACATTGGACAATTTTTACTGATTAATTATATATCATTTGAAACTATGCTTCTGAATTTTAAGTCATGGTTATGTGGCTCTCCCTGGGAAAGTAGTTATGCATAAAGAGAAAGCTAGAGCTTGTTTTCCCTTCATCATCCGGGTGTCATTTATTTGAATAACCCTGATAGCCATCCTTAAACTGTAGCACAGAGACCCAAACACTGAATGTTTTAAATATCATAAACACAAACAGCACTACAAGCTGTTCTTGGAGGGGTGGAGAAGATCCTGGCTTTGGCTTCATAAACCTAAAATATCAAGTCCTTGACTAAGTTGTTCTTCCACATGCATACACTCTAGCAGTCACTGACAGAAGTGGTTTCTAGGACCAGACAGACTTAACCATTTGACTGATCTTACAAACTTCAGTGTCTCCTGTCAGGCTAGCCTGATTCCCTCTTCATGTATGAATTTGTTTCTTTCCAGTTGCCCAGGATTTTATGTCAAGATTCATAAATAAATTACTGCTTTACCCACAATGATGCAACATCTCAGCAGTGGTCATTCGCACACCTTTTTGAGTGCAGTTAACATGGGAGTGCTGTAGTATGACAATGAAACCAAGGAGGAAGGAGAAGTCCAGCATTTCATAGAAAGTAGGGCTAGCAATTCAGTTATGTATATTTGTATTTAATGCTAGTGCTCTTAAGTAGAGCACACTGTTCCTTTATGTTCTCAAATATTTTCTTTATTTTTGGAGGTTATTCAAAGCTGCATCCTTGGCAGCTAATTAGATGGCTTGAAAGATGCCAGATGAGCTGTGGAGGAAGAGGAAGTGTTACATGAGAACAGTGAGCATGATCTCTGGCACATGCCTTTGTAGTGCCATGTCCCCATCTTTTCCTGGATGACGTCCTGAGACACTGGAAGAGTTGGCAGGATTAAGGGAGCAGGATAGAAATGCTGCAGAAGCAATAATATTGAAGAAAAGGAAAACAAGATGAGAAAACAGTTGCTAAGATGTTAAAAAAAAAGCCATCAGTGAAATGTAAATTATAATAATTTTTTAGAGGATTGAGAGCCTACTTGAGGATGTATTTTAACTTATGATTACTTAAGGCGAAGGGATTTTTATAGAGTATGATAGCTTGCAGGCCATTGGCATGCTACATTCTACAGCATTCCAGATTCCCCAGTGATATTCTGTCCAATACTCTTTGGGCCTTATCTCAAAAAAATTTGATAGATTCCACTAGCATGTCATTATATCAGTATTTTCTTATACCTATTTGAAAATGTATAAGCTGAATCTCAAGTGGCCTTCCAATTATGACATAAATGATATATCAAATTAATTTAAATACTTAACTATTGAAGTTAATGCAGATTTTATAGCTAATCACATTTTGATCTATATTAAATAAAGGTTTACAATCATGATCAACTTCAGAATGGGGCAAATTCCATTATTTTCTTCTTTTTAAAGTAATTACTATTTATGCACTATTTAACTTCAAAATAAAAGCTTTTTTATTATTATTTAATTAGTTCTATTTTCTGCTAAAGTAGCTGATGGGAAAAGAATAATGTTCTTCACTGGAATTGGCTTGTTCGAAATTCAGCAAAAACAGTGCTGGAAAATTGACTTTCTTCTTTTAAATATCAAGTTAAAAATCAATGTTGTGATAACACAAAGGACACAATGCTAGATAATGAAAGGTGATTAGCAGTTAGAAATGTAAAGAGACAAATAATGTTAACCTCCCCTGTAATAATGCATACTGGGTTCTTATTGTTATTGATCATTTTTTAACTGTTTCTCAAAATAATCTGAACATCCACATGTATTTTCACTGAGCCCAAGTAACTATTAGCTTTTACAGCACTGCTAGATAATCATTTATTTAATCAATTTGGTGTGACAAATTAAAATAAACTTTGTGTTTCCAGCAAATTTGTAAGGCAAAAATACATTTTTAAATGTAATTTTTGTTCAAATACCCTGAAAAAAGAAAGCTAAATAAAAACTCAACTAAAGATATTTAAAGAACCCTAAATTCAAACTGTAACTTACCAACTTATCAGTTTTTATGTGTAACTCTTCATTTTTTTTTAATTATCTATTTTTAAGTAAACAATAAAATATAGAGGGATTTAACAAGCATGTGTTATTTCAAAATGTCTGTCATTTTGTCTGTATTTTCTCCTAATTTTTTCTGTTTGGAGAAAGTTCACTGGATTATTGTAGATACTGTAAAACTGCTATAGCCTGAATTTACACAGTGATTTTCAGCCTCTACTTGTAACGTCAGAATTTGGGGCAGAATTTAACCTTTACAATTAATCAGTAGTCATAAGAAGCAAGTTATTCATCTGACTTCAGAAGTTTTATTATAATCCACTGTTTCTGTATATGTAGTTTATGTAACCATCATATAGATTGCTTTCTTACTGTCAGTGTTAAATTACGGATTTCACTCCTACAGGAATACTTGTAAATTAACACACATTAATGTTGCTAAAGCACATACTGCAAGGATAGAAACCACAATAAATATTGTGGACATTAACAGATATATTCTAATCTGTATTTTGTCTTTTGAAGTACTTCATATCCAACAGCCAAATGAGGAAGATACTATAGATCGACTTACATTAAATATAAATTCCATTTTTCTTATATATAAACACCCTTTTATAAACATTTTTGATAAATGTGTTTGTTTGTTGGGTTTGTTGTTGTTGTTTGGTTGGTTGGTATTTTACTGTATTCATATAAAAACTTTCTGAAATTATTATTAGTACAGTCCTAAAGATATTGTTTAGAATAGTTTTATTTCTAGGTGCTTGCTGAGGCAGCTTTGTTCACAGTTTGGGAGAAAAGGTGACCACATTTCCATTTTCCATCATGGAAGAATTCTCCAGGAGAATTTATTGAGTTTACATGACTAAAACGTAAAGCTTATGGATAAGGTTTGGAACTCAAACTGCTTTGAAGTTTGTTCTACCTATTCATGCTGTGATAGCATCTCTGGATTTAGAAATACAATCGCTTCCACGCTGAAAATTCAATTGAGAAAACTTATTAGTGATATAGCTTCAAGGGATTGTGGGTTCAGGTGGTACCATTTGATAGTTCATCACAAAGTGGGATGTCTATGTTTATAGATAGAACAGTCTTGTTCAATTAAAATAAGTTATACTGATGCTTTAAGTGATATTTCTGACTACCTGAGATGTTTGGAAATCAGATGCTGAAAAGATACCTTTTCAGTACAAAACCTCTTTCTCTTGTCAAAGACTTCTTGTGCCAGAACCTCATTTCTGAGAGTGAATTCTACAGAAAATGGGGAAATTCATGGTCTAGGAAATCTCTTCATTCATTAAGACAAAGGGATGACTTGCCATTTTGCTGCTTCAAGGGACAGGTTTGATCAAAGTTTACTGTTCTTTGGAGCTTGGTGGTATGCGATAATGTAACTCTTCTATGTACCTCTGACTTTCAAAGCCCTAGATGCTAAATGTCAAATATAGTGTATCAATTAAAGTATTTCAATTATGTTTTTCAGAACATGAGAGTACGGACAGTAAAAGGACAAGATTACTATTCTAAAACAGGAGCAAAATTCCATGGAAAAATGGAACAAAAATTTCTGCTGGTTGACTGTAAGAAAGTTGTTTATGGTTCTTACAGGTAAGATCTGTCACTGAGGTGCTCATAGATTACCTGTCATCTTAGTACTTCACTTACTGCAAAGTAAGTGCAAATATTTTTTTCCATTTCTAAAAATTCTTCAAAGAATCTCCAGGGGCAAATTTGATTATTTTTACTGTAATTTGACAAGTTGTCATAGAGACTTATTGGAAGCTAAAATGGATATATCTTTTGGTTTTTTTCTGAACATTTGATGAAAAAAGAGAAAAATCCCGATTTATTTTATATTGAGTTATTCTTGCTTAGTGTTCACCCCAGAAAAGGCTTTCAAAAAATTTCATAAGCTCTTTAGATACTTTTTCCTTGTGGTAATCTTCTAAAGTTAAAATTATAGACCTACTCTATGCACTCTGTATTATATCATGGTCAAATTCAGAATTGTACACGATATGTTGGCATAGTCTCTCTTTATATTTGGATAAGTTTTTTTATTCTACTTTCTGCTTCTACTTTCTGAATTCTAATATATTCTTGCAAGGCAGAAGACAGAAGAACTTACAGCTTTGCAGAGTTGGGAAGAAGTTAAAGCAGTAACAGTTTTTATCTCACAGATTATTTTTCTTATCTTCCTGGTTCACTTCTCTCTTTTGGCCTACCGAATTAATTTCTGCCAGCCTAGTGCCTGGGTGCCAAATACATAGCCACTGATTTTTGTATATTTCAACTACTGTAAGCTTTTGAAAATCTGTCTCTATTTCCTCTGAGACTCAAGCAGCATCTAATTTAGATTGATATGTGTAAATGGTAGTGAGATAAGTCAGAAGTTCATAAATGAGTCAGTATAAGGGAGTCCAGAGAGTCTGCCTGCTTTGACATCTACACACATTGTTAGAGTCTGTGAGAATGTGATCGGTTTTCTCATTTCTTTTTGAAAAATAACATGACTTTAAGAGCTAGCACAGAGGCAGGAATCACCAATTTCTGTTGAAATTAAGCTTTCTTTGGAAAAAAATTCAGCGACTTATGGCAAGAAAGATGAGTATATTCTGAAGTCTTGCTCTTTGAATTCAGTTTAATTTTTTTTTTTTACAAATTTTGCAAAATATATTGCTCTCAGTATGTGCTTCTGTGAAAATAAAGATAAAAAAAATTATGTATCATAATTTTAAGCTCATTACACTATTCCCCCAAAAATTCAAAACTAGCAAATAAAATTTAATCGGCAAGCTATTTATGTGAATGCAACAAACCATTTTCCTCACAAGCAGGAGAGGCAAATAAAACAAGTTTATTGCTTCCATTTAACTTTTTTTTTTTCCAATTATTTTTGGCATTAAATTAGGATCATAGGACAGAGGGTTTTTTTTGATTTGTTGTAATCTATAAATTATATGCTTTCAACACCATGTTATTAGGCTTAATGAAATATCCTTGGTGTAGTTGTTAATGTATTTTATCTCATATTGCAGCTACAAAGTAGCAAACCTGGTTATATTTAAGCATGGTAAAACTTTTCCATGCACAACTGAAAGAAAGAAAACTTCCTTCATTAGGATATTGTATATTGCAATTTATAGAAATGTTAATATTCAATCCCATGTGCATGCTAGAACTTGAAACTTACTGACAATTTTTAGGTGCATCTTTTTGAGAAGTTGTTTAGAGTAAAGTATATTCAGACCTGTGCAAACAGTTTCATGTATTATGTCAAATGCAGTTTTTTCAACACATAGCCATACTCTAGTGTTCTCTGATTCAGGAGTGGATCTGGTCAATTCTGGCTTAGACTTTGTAGAGGTAATTCTGCACAATTAGGTATTTGTGTTCCAGCGTTCTGTACTTGAGAATACTTTTTGCAGTATTCACTGTTTATAACAGTTTTTAAGTAGTTATTTCTGCTCCCACTGAAAGCAGTGGAAGTTTTCCACTGAGTTCAAGTTGTATTAGATTAGATCTTCTAAAAGCAAATTGTATGAATCCTACTCTCAGTTTATTTATTTACTAGATCTATGTTCACTTGATTCATTTTTTTTTTTTCAAGGACCAGTGATATATATTAATTCAAAACTGTTCCTGATGGTCATTTTTTCTTCTTTCAGCTTTATGTGGTCTTTTGAAAAAACCAACCTCAGTATGGTTCAAGTTATAACAGGACAGCTGGTTGAATCCTTTGATGAAGAGTTCAGGACACTGTATGCCCGTTCTTCTGTTCCTAGTTCATTTGCCCCTGAATTAGTGCGGGTCAACAGCCGCAGGACACTCTGGGATAATGACACATACCAACACTCAGTGTCTTCCTTAGCTTCAGTTTCTAGCCAAAGAAACCTTTTTGGTAGACAAGACAAGATTCACAAGTTAGATCCTGTTTATTTGAAAACTCGTGGACGATTTCCAGTAAATGAAATAGATAAATTTGGCTTGAGAAATCAGACTTTTAATAAACAACCATTTCATCCAGGTTTTAATATGCAAAATCCAATCCAGCAGTATCAACCCAGTGAAAAAAATGAGCACTGGAAGAGACATAGTTATGCTGGGGAGAAGCCAGAAAGGACATCTTACCTACTGCTCAACAGAGCTATTAATAGAGCCAATAATCCATCAAATACTTGGAAAATGCCATCTGATAGCCTTAGTATTGTATCTTCATTACGAGGAGGATATGCAAATAACTACAATACACCCCAACAAAGTTTTGCTGATCAATTTTCACGACCAAAGGTAAATCTTGCAGAAAGAAATTCAATTGTACGGAGGTCTTTTAATGGGACAGATAATCAAATCCGCCACCTGCAGCAAAGGATGCCGACACTCGAACACACAACAAAATCATTCCTACGTAACTGGCGAATTAAATCATATTTAAATGACCATTCTGATTATCCAGTAGAGTCTAACGGATCAGCCTTGGGTGACAGATATGATGGCTATGACACAACTGAAAATATTAAAGCTCATGCTCTGTACTCCCACTCTCGCTTACGATCATCATTAGTGTTTCAGCCAACTTTACCCGAACAACAGGAGGTAAGCAGCTGTGCAAGTTCTTCAAATTCAACTATAATTGGGTCAGAGGGAAGTGAAACACCTAAAGGGACATCTAATCATGCACCAAGTTTGGAGAATGGAACAGATAATACTTCAGAAGAGCTTAGCACAAATGCCTCACCTAAATCAGAGGCACCCAAAAACCACAAAATTCAAATGGCAGAAAGCAGAAAGCCTATTGTAAATTCGGATGCAGTAGCAGACCCATCTGCCTATATATACACAACGCTCTGTGCAGACAAACATGCAGAAAACATGAAAAATCTTCAAAATGACAATATCCTTAAAAGAAGAAGCTTTCCCATGTTTAATTCAAAGTCTATATTGGACCCTCATGCCGATAGACACACATCCAGTTACGTTTACAGCACACTGACTAGGCATAGGCTTAAGCAGCCAGTTAGTCCAAAAATCCCAGAAGATACACTAAAGGGCTCTAAAAGTTTGCATAGTATGGCCAACCATTTGCCACAGGAGGAAAAGGATCTTAAAGGAGAGCTGAAGAACCCAACTGCTACCAAGGCAATCTCTATGGCTGTTCTTGCTGAAGCTATCAAAGAGGAGTCTGGTAAGGATTGTACATCAAAGAAGGAAAGTAAGAATTCCCCAAATTTTCTAAAGAAAGGATCCCAAAAATTGCGGTCCCTTCTTAATCTCACACCAGACAAGAAAGAAATCTTGTCAAAAAACAAAGGTCCTGCCTTTTACAGAATGTGTAGTAGTTCTGACACTTTGGTTTCTGAAGAAGAGAATCAAAAACCAAAGATCTCTGAGAATAAGACAGATTCTTCCCCAAGGAGAAAGAGAAACACATCAAATTCACAAGGTAGCTTGAACAGAAGTAAAGAAGATGTCACTTCGAGCCCATCAAAGTCTCCAAAGTCTCCAAAGTCTCCAAAGCCTCAAAAACCTCCATCTGATGAAAGCAATAAAAAGTGTCCTGTCTTGTGCCCTCTTGAAACTAAGTTCATAGAAACTGCAGGAGATGCATCTACCCCAAGATTTAATACGGAACAGATTCAGTATCAAGATGTAAAGGATATTACCACAAATGCTGCTCCTGAAAGTGCCCCTGTTTGTGCTCTACAAAGAGCAACCTCAATGACACCGCAACTGGCAAGTTCAAAACATCAAGAGGATCTCAGATCTCGTTCAAGTGAAAGACGTGTTTATAGTCGCTTTGAGCCATTCTATAAGATGGAAAATGCTAGTCAACTTGTAGGAAATACACTAAATAGCAGTTCACATCTCTCAGATATGAAAAGCAAGACCTTAGGGAATAACTATGGCAGAAGTAATCACCTGGTCAGCTACAACTCAACTGCTTATCATCCATTTCAGCCTAATGAAAATAAACTGAGAGGATTCATGCAGAAATTTGGGAACTTTCTACACAAAAACAAGTAAAACTTCTGTTACTGTTGTTGAAATACAGTGAGATTAGCAAAGCTGTACATTCCTAACTGGACAAGACAGATGAACTTTTTTGTAGTTTTGTAGTTTTGTAGAATTTATTTAGGTTTCTTCAGAATCAAGGACAATTGAATGAATGTACATATTTTTACATAATTATACTAGGATTATTATACTTCAGTCGTTACTGAAATTCTGAGTCCAGAAAACGTCTCAAGGGAGTTGTTTATAGTGTTTATATTGTAAGATTACTTTTATACATTTTCTTTGTGAAGAAAGTATGTGTTAGCATATTGTAAGATTGCCTGTGGGGGAAAAGAAATATAGAGAGTGTTTTTAAACTTGAAATAATACTGTTTCCAAAGATAATTCCTTTAAAAATAGGATAGCAGTAGGAATAGTGGCTCTTTCAGCATTTATGTACATTTTCAAATGATAAACACAGATGTTAATGCATTGCACATTACTTATCTTTAAATTCATTTTTAAACCCTCTTATAGATTTCATCTTGGTAATAATTTACCCCCTAGCATCATATCGAGCTGTTTAGGCAGCAGATGGATCTTAATTCATTGAATTTTCCATTTAATATGATATTTTCTGAACTATTTGGCACACATCTTAAAGTGACTTTAATCCAAGCTTTCACAGTCTTGTTTACATGGCTAAAATAATGTGAATGTAGGATGAATGTTTAAAAAAAAAAAAAAAAAAAGAAACAAAAAAACCCTCAACAGCTTATAAACAGGATGCCTTCAAAAGAACTTATAACTGGTTTAAATTTCAATGAATTAAGTACTATTGTATAACATGCCAGTATTCTGTAATGTATTCTAAAAATAATTCTTTGTTAGATTTTTCTATTGTTTCCATGAAAAAAAGTGGATTTCCATTTCTCAGGTAAGTCTTAGAGTTTCATATGCAATAGTCTGTGTAAAGTGTTGCCAGATTATGTGCAACTCTGCCTTTAATAACCTATTTTTTTGATATTAAGGTTGCAAGTACTTAGACCAGGCATGTGAGGGAGGTTGTAAGCTCAACACTGCAGTGCTTGAATATTCCATGCCCTGTTGCTTTAAGTCAGGAGGAGCGTCAGAAGGCCAGGAGCAATTAGACATCTAAAAATGAGACTGATGAAAGCCGCCACATCAGGCAATATGATACTTCTCCTAAAGAAAGTATCAATGAAGGGTGATAGCAGCAATTGTTTAATGTTAGTGAACGTATTCAGGCACCTGGATGCAATCTAAGGGGATATATATGTGTGTTCATTTAGACTTTCAGTCTCTCAGTCATAAGAACTTTCTTGATATTAAGTGCCTATAGCAGATCAGTGCATACAGAAAAACACAGGGATGTGGTGTGTTTGCAGCAAGGCATCTGCTTCTTACCTACAGCTCATAGTCAAAGCATCCACTTTGCTCATTGGTGTGGGTTTTTCTTTCAGGAGAGCACCCGTAATCATTTAGCTGCAAGATGCTCTGGGACAGTCTTGTTCCATTTGAATTCTGTAAAGCTGTTCTACCACACTTTACATTATTACATGTTAAGAGGGCTGAAGACAAGAAAGTGGACATTTCTCTGATTATGGCAGTCAGCATTTTGGAAAGGCATATTTACATCCTTGCCTTGCTAGCACACCTGCCTCTTCTCGGTAGTTGTCTTAGGCACGTTTTGAGAACAACAACTGAGAACTAAGCTCCAGTGGGATCATGAAAAGAACTTTCTTAGGAAAAAATATACCTGTAGCAGGCACTGGGGAACTCAGCATTTTTGGGATTTAGGCAATACTGTAAATTTTCAGCAACAGAAATTTGGGTAACTTCATTGCTGAAAGCTTATGTACCTTATACAGGGTCTTCATGTTTCAGGAGCATGTTTTAGGAGACCATTTCTCTCTTAGATCTAAAAGGTCCTACAGCATTCCATGCCAGAGTCCCACTGCAGAGGTTGTGGCTTTGTCCTTTAAAACATCAAAAAGGCATTTCATGCACCAGCTCAATTGAGTTCATTTGTCTGTGCTACCTGTGGTGCTGAGAGGAGATTTTATATGGAAATCTCATCACTAGAATCTGCCCTGACTCCCATGAACTTGCTGTAGCTATTGGCAGTGATTTCGGTGAAGCAGTGCAAGCTTTTTCATTCAAACTGTTTCTCAGGCAAACTTACTAGGTTGATGCATTATAGTAATTACTGTTTCACTGTGGGGATGGTATTTATTTTTAAGGGCCTTGTGTCTCAATCCTCTGCTGAAAGTTTCAGTCTCCCCTTTACCTATGATTTACTTGGGATGGAAAAGACTATGAGTCTCTAAATGAACACTGGCCACTTGATCACTCCATGCTAAAATGCCCTACTACATATGTTTCCCAAATGACCATTCATACCGTCCTGTCAGAAGCAGCAATTTCAGGCCCAGATTCCAAAGCAAGTTTTATCTCCTTAGTATTATATGCGTATTTTCAACATAGGCACAACATACTTCCCCAGCTACCCAGCCAACAGCAGTGCAGCATTACACTTATTTCTGAGTCTTAATGTGTGTTAACAAGGCAGAATGTTATTCAGGATGGTGCCTGAATTAACTGTACAGCAAAAGAAATAAGTGAAGGTGCTAGCAGTGTCTATGGTGCGGATAGGCTTAGGGAAGATATTTAGTTTTTCCTCACAAGCTCTGGCATACATCGGTAATACTAGATTTGGGAAGGAATTGAGAGAGAACAAGGGCCTTCTGGAAAGTTTTGAAGTGACAGTTCTTTGCATTTTGTAGTAGAATGTGGGAAACATATTTTGATACACTTAGGAATCTTTTTCTGTATTTTCCAGAGTGGGTTGTTTATAAGAGAGTCCTGAGAAAGCAGGTATTTTAATTTACCAAGTCACCTATATATAATTCCATTTTGTATTTGTACACAGCAGATTAAGTGTCTTCAGTGAAGAGCCTGCTCTTATGCTTGATAATGCAAAAAATTAATCACAGTAAAATTTTCTTTTTCATTTCCATGTATCTCCTCAAAGACCATGCATTGAGGCCTGACCCAAGATTAACTGAACTGAATGAAAATCACCACTGGTCTCAGTGAAAGTTGGATCAGACACACAATGTAATGATGCCACTATTTTAGAGGTGTGACAAAATGCTGCTTGGAAAGCATGCGGCCCTGGCTCTGTGGGAGCAGCAGCTTGATGCCCTGCCTGCAGCTTTAGAGATGAGGGAGCCCTTGGAGGAGCTCCAAGGGAAGTGATGCAAGGACCAACTGCCTTGTTGTTCCCACTGGAATTGTGTGTTATAGGTGGGGAAGCAGTGCTCAGCTGTTTGTGTCTGATTTGCCTCCTGTCTGTGGAGGATCCCACCTGTTCCACAAAATAGATAAGTGTGGAAAAAAATGCATGTGCTCTTTGCAAAATCTGTGTCTTTTTGGAAGGAGGAATAGAGCTTATATTTTTAAACTTCCTTTTCCCCGAGCTTGTCTTGATCTTTCTGCTTTTCCCAAGGAGATGCACTTTGTTCAATGTGTCCTAAATGTGCTTTGCACATTGCAGGTTTGTTACACCCTGCACACACCCAATGTACTCCCAGTTTTGTAAGGCTCTGAAGTAATAGGTATTGCCACGCATGATGGTCTTTTGGCCAAATGGCTTGGGAGTTGTGAAACACACAAAAAATGATGTGTCATTTTCACATTACATAAAACTCTGTTAGATCCAGATTATCAGAGTTACACAGTACTAAATGTGGCCCTTAGGAGCACCGTGGGCAGCTCATACAGGAAATACAGACCCCTCATACAGCACTCGTTCAATTTGTGTTGTAAATAAACCACCTCAACATATGATCGTAACACCCAGTGAATTAATTGCTTCATTTCTTCAGCCTTGTAGTAAACAGTTTTTACTGCCTTTCAGATTGCAAAATGTTGGTTATTTTATTAATGAGCTTGCACAGCACTCTATTCATGCTAACGAATATGAACTTTGTGTAAATAAAAATTAAGACAAATTAAATTTCCGGCTGTCTAATTCACAAGGGTAATATTTTTTGTTAGAAACCTTGACAGAAAGAAAGCTTATCAGGTAATAGATGTTTGTGCACTGATAGATACAAAAGCAAGACCATTCAGAGAAGAACTGTATTTGATCATTTTTTGGCTTTCTGAAATATATAAGGGAATGTTGTGGTTTAAAAAAGAAGTCATAAAAAAAAAAAAATCACAAAATCTGTGCCAAGATAGTGTAAAAATAAAATTTAAAATGGCTCCACTACGCGGTACGATAAATATCTTTTCTTCATTCGTAGCACTTTTTTCCTTGCTATTTCCTGACATAAACTGTACAAACACAACTGGCTGTACAACATTGTAATGAACAGAAATCAGTAAGAACTTATTCCCCAGATCAATATTGTACTGCACAGTACAATATTTGTGGTTTGCTGTTTTTTTTTTTTAAACTTTATTTTGATTTAAGCTGTAGAATTAGAACAACATAAATCTGCAGTAGTTCATTGGTAAATGAAATCTGTTTCTCTAGTTTTGTGTTAAGTTGCATGAATACATACTCCATTAGCACACCAGTGATGAGAAAAGTCTGCACTGCTCACATGCCATCTTGCCATTTCATTTTATACAGATGCTTACAGATGTCTTACTGCCTTTTTGTAGACTATGACATTTTTGTTTCCAGCCCTTAACAAAGAGTTTCAGTTAGGTCTCCTTTATTTTACATTTGAACATGGTGCCAAAGAAATGTTGCGTGTTCTGACAACTGCTTTGAGAAATGGAATGGAAGAAACCATGTGCTTTTGACAGTTGCAGAATAGAGCTACATTGCTCTTAGGCATAGCTAGTGGTTTGGTTTTCTGCTTTAATGACATGACTTGTTAAGTTTGCTTAACTCACTTCTGGCTTCTAGCAGTCTCCTCCAGGTCAGTATTTAAAAGCAGTTTTCATATATTGCAATGCTAAAGCAAAAGTAAGTCCTGTTTTTGAAAATCCCAAAGGATTTTGGGTCCTATACTTCCAAGTCAAGTTTTTGTACATCTTGAGAATATCTTTTTCTGGAAGATCTCTGGACATCTCTTCAGAAGAAGCTGATGGATTCTGTGAAGAATATGCACCTTTCTCCCATCACAGGTGTTAGACTAACTAAAAATTTCATGGACAAACACAAATGATTTCTGGGGAGAAAATAAGCATTTCTGTTAAGAGGCTCATGATTCATGTTTATTTTGATACTGTTGATTCTATATGTAAATATAGCTGAAAAAACCCTACTTCCTGCCTGTATGAAGTAGAGAACTGATGACAGTCCAAGTATCATTATTATAAAGACTTAGCACCAATAGCAATATTTCATTGTGTTTGAGAAATGAATGCAACTCATTTATTAGCATTCAAACACAGGACTCTTACTTGTTTGTTGTACATTGTCTGTTCTTGCCTCATTTAGCAATCAGCCTGCTCAAAATGCAGACTGGTTGTCCTTAATTTCTCAAGACCCTGAATAATACCTGGAAAAACATATCCAGCGAAGCATTAAACATCCACTTAACTTTAAAACAGGAGGTTAGTACCAGGCTAGGACCAGGCTCTGAGCATCCTAATTTAACTGTGGATGTTCCTGTTCATTGCAGGGGAGTTCACAGAATCATAGAATCACAGAATCCTTAGAGTTGGTAGGGACCTCTGAGGTCCATTTAGTCCAACTCCTCTGCAATGAACAGGGACACCACAGCTAGTCAGGTTGCCCAGGGCCTTATCCAGCCTCACCTTGAAAGTCTCCAGGGTTGGGGCATCAACCACATCATTAGGCAACCTATTCCAGTGTCTCACCACTCTCACTGTAAAAGATTTTGTCCTTATATGTAACCTAAACCTACCTAAAGAGGGTACTCTTTGAGCTTGAGTTGGACTAGATGACCTTTAACATTCCCTTCCAACTCAAACGATTCTATTATTCTATGATAGTGTAAATCCTCCTGAGATAAAACATAACACCAGCCATAACTATATGTGTTTTGATAAGTATTGGTGTAAAAATCTCAGTGTAATTCTAGCTGACATATTTTGGGAAACTGCTGAATGTATGTGATTTAATTTGTTTTAATGATTTAATTGTTTTCTTTGAGCCATGTCTAATTTTACCCATGTTGATGCTGCATTTTGATATCATATCTGGCATGTTTCTTCAAAATCTCACTTATGCCAGTATGAGAATATTGCTCTTGCTTTCAGGGTCTGGATCACTTTTCCAAGAGCAGGTTCCATGGACTCCTGGTGATCCAAAAGATTTCAAAAACTGACATGGAACTGAGTTCAGATTATTAAAAGCACAACAAAGCCAAACAAAAAGTCTTTAATACATATTTCCATATAGAGCAAAGGAAGCAAGTCAAATCAGAAGATGATTGATCATGAAAGTGCACATTCATAATGTAATTTTTACTGGTTGAAACTGAAAGCTGTATTTCAGTATTGCAGTCATTGATTTAAAAAAAAAAAATGCTGAGGAACACTGATCTACAGGATGCAAAACAACCATGAGAAGTGCTACAAGCACATAAAACTCGAAATAGGTTTTTCTGAGTAATTTCTGAGGGGAAAGAAAAAGAATTCCATCAAGTTGGTTTTAATACTGACAAATTAGTTCCAATACTGACAGCAATTGATTGTGCTGTTCTCATTTAAAATTGATACTTGATATGTAAATCCTTTTTTTCAGGTGGAGTTCCCAGATTACACAGCAACTGTGTTACAGATATACTGTGTATATACATATACAAACCAAAAATTGTCTTGAAATAATTTATTACTTTTTTTTTTTTTTACCAAATAAAGCGTTTCTTTTAAAGCTCAGTTCATTCCTCTGTTCTTGTTTTCACTGACTCCTATTGTTACCAACATTTTTCATTTCAAAATTTAGAGAATCTTTTAAAAAAACATTGACATCAGATATGTTGAGCCGAATGTTGTAAATGAAGGTCTCAAGGCTGCATGTGGCAGCATCAGTGTTTGCAGAGCTTCTGTGGGTCATACATTCCGCCTGACTAAAAGGAAGGAACAAAGCTGACATCACTTTAATATAAAAATTCTGGAATAAAATGTAAGTACCAATAGGCTAGATCAAGCATTAAACAGAGTAAGATCTACTGCGTTAGCATCCTGTGTTTACCTGCAAACCCTTGTATTTATTTCCTGTTAACCCCTTCTTGCTCATGATGTCAGGTTCAGTAGTCTTTTCTGTTTCCTACTTCCACCTCCACCTTAATTTCTTGTTTCCTATTTACATGAAATGTCCTTCAGAAATCTGTGTTCCTCACTGCTTGCCTTGTAAAAACAATTGAAAATCACTTCCATCACATTGTTTAAAAGAATTAGCTTCCAGCAGCTTCTTTATGCATGAGTGCATGCTACTACTGAATGGCTAATGACAAATTGATTTTCTGTCATGAATATATGTTTGGTTCCTTTGGAAAACAAGTAGGAACCAGTAACCTTTCTGAAAAGCTTACAATCTGTATGTAGACTTAATGAAGGAAGGAAATGAAGAGGAAGAGAGCAAGTGAAAAGTGAAAAAAATGAAGGTTACCTAAAAGTGAGGAGGTTACTCTGTGCAGTGGGAAGGGTTGTGTTGATGTTTATGCAGGCATACATGAATGTACGTGTATGCATAATACTGTATGTCCAACTTATACAGGAACTTTTACTTATATAGAAAAAGAAGTAAAATTCATTTCATTTAATTGAGCTCAGGGCTTTTCTCTGGTCTCACCTACAATAATTCATTATAATTCTCATTTCTTCTTTCCTTCCTGCTTTTCTCTCCTATGCCCAACCTAACCTTACCCTACCAGCAGCACTCTCAGCAGCATTTCAGTAGAGAAACACAGAAAAAAAAAACCCAAAACATTTAATTCTTTAGACTATATTACTTCAGTTATGAAAGAGATTAAACATTACCCTGTCCATAATGTGCAGTTTCAAGCTCATCAGCCACCATCTTCACAATTGTTCATGACTTGTTCCTCAAAGTAAAAGTATCTCAGTGTTTTCCAAGGTGGGACGGTTTGGTACAGCTTTGCTGAGGTATATAAACAGACTCGTCAATGAGGCAGCCTGTGGCTGGGGTCAGGATGCTCTCAGAAACAATTCATGATGGTTTCTCCTAACTAAAAGCACTACAGCAATCACTATATGGCTGCTGTACTGGAGCTTAGCACACTAATAAGCATATCAGCCAGAGAAATGCTGTGAAAGTGTCAAACCTCAAGATTTTATCCTTTGTTCCTCCTCTTCTGAGCAACACAGGATTTTAGAGGAAAGTACATAAGGAATTGGAGGAAAAATGAACTAGGTAGATTAGAAACATGTCACTAGATTTTGTTCTCATACCTCAGATAAAAGGCTTTAGGGGGACAATATACACCGTCAGTCACCTTATACTTAAGTAAACTGCGGTTTTCTAGTTATCTTGCTGAAACTCACCCTAGGCTAAGATGGTCTGTGTACTGCAAATCTTTACTGAAGGGAACAGGTTTCTGGAGAAATTTCATTTCACTCAAACAGCTCACAGTGGAACCTCTCCGCCGTTTTTTAGGGGACCATGCCATCATCTTCTCATACTTTCAATGATCAGGCTTGAAAATGCTTTTAAAGGACAAGATCACAAATAATTGGATTGAAAAGAGAGTCCTTCTCACTTATTGGAAAAAATAATACACTAATTTTTTTTCTGGAGCATCTTGGTCCTTATTTTTCTTCCCCCATTCTTGCTGGCTCCTGTGCACTGCAGATTGGAGGAGGTTGTGGGGGCTAAGCACTGCATTTAAACTTTTTATAATCTGTAGAAAAGCATATCTTGAAAAGATACATCATATTTAACTCTCACTGACTTCTCGGGGAAATAAATTAATGCTTCTAAAATTTTTAAGGCCTTAAAATTATTTGTGCTATATTGCTGCCTTCAGTCACCCACTGAAATTCCCAGAAATGCATTTCAGATGGATCTGCCTTCCAGAGAATAAAGCAAATTTACTTATTTTTTAGTCACATGGGCAACTTGGAGGAATCATTTTCAAAAGGAAGTAAAAAATGCATTGCCTTCTTCAGATGGCAAGTCTTAGAAAATTTGAGTAATAAATTAAATAAAATATAAATACACAAGTTTGAACAGGAAAAATGCATTCGTTTCCTTTTTGAAAATAATAATAATAATTTTTAATTTACCAAGATCATTACTTAATAAATCCTCTTACTTAATGCTTGTTATTACTCTTCCTTTGAATTTTAAATAAGTCCATTCATTATGACTGCCTTGGGTTCTAAAGTTACAGGAAACACAAAAGAGATGACCTTGCAAACTTTGGCTGCCTCAAGTTTCAAGAAGTATACCATGAAACATATTTTAGTGCATTCTGCAGAAGTAATTAAAAACCTTTTTCCTCCTGTTTGAGAAGCAGGAACCATTATGCCCTTGAATTCTTTAGAAATTATTTTATTTGTGAGAGAAAATATAAAATATTTATTATCATAATACTTAAATACACCCCTATAAATCTCTTAATTAAATTGGAAAAAGAATCTGAGATGAGAAAATAGATATTAGTCTCCACATCTGTTCAAGGCAGCCAAAGTGTGCACTGACATATTTTAATTCTCTGTCAGAAGCAAACGAAATTTGCAGCAGTTAGAAGAGGCAAACAAAATAATGTGGCAAATAAAAAAATTGTAAAGAATGGGCTAGCATTTTCCATACAGCACTAAAACCACCTGCTTCTTTAGAATTTAAACACAAATCTCAGAAAAAAAAATGGAGAAGACACTATCCTCTGCAAATTTATATGACAGAACTGAATTTTCCCTTGCTGAGCATCACTGAGGTGAGACAGTCTGCCAGGACACTGCTCAGTGTGTGCATTGCACAGTGAATGGGCTGCCTCACCTGGTGTATTTAATGCTTCTTAAAACTTGGAAAGGCAGCTCCTGTCCAAACACACTTTTTTCTGTCCTCCTTATAATTATGTTTATTTAGGTGTGGAGCTCAAATTGAGAGTACATGACCTGCATCTTATTCTGGCTTGTTCTCCATCAAATTAAATTGTTAGAAGACCCAGTTCTATCTTTGCTCTTGTTGTTGATGAATGCCACTCAGAACTCGGGGAGATTTCTGTTACTGTCCAGGAGGCAGTATGAGAAATTCCATTACTTTTCAACTTGCAAAAAAGGAGCCTGAGGAGTGACTTCATTGCATTGTACATTTTCTCAAAGAAGGGAAATGGAGAGAGACGTGTTCATGCTTTCTCCGTGGTACACATGAACATAATGTGGGAATGCCTCAAAGCTGCATCAGGGGAAGTTCAAACTGGATATTAGGAAGAATTTCATGCGAGGGTCCTCAAAGAGCTGTCTGATGTTACTGTGAAATTGAAAAACACCTGAAAGACAACATAGTCATTGGTTGCAGCCAACACAGGTTCATGAGTGGAAAGTCATGTTTAGCGAATCTCCTTAAAACAAGGTTACCCATCTATTTGACTAAGTGAATCCAGGTGATGTAATCATGTTGGTTTTCAGCAGTATTCAGTACTGTTTCTCACAATATCCTTCTGGACAATATGTCCAGCTTACAGCTAGACAAAAAC